CAACAGCAGCTTACATCGGTGCCTGAGTGGAGGGCCAGAAGCTTCTTGGCAATTGCACCAGCCGCCACTCGGCCAATAGTTTCGCGAGCTGATGACCGGCCTCCGCCCTGATTGTGTGGGAGAGAGGGGAGGGAGAGGAAGCTGGGGAGTGTTTGAGGGGGAAACGAAACGAGCTCACTGGTTTCACGAGCTGATGACCGGCCTCCGCCCTGATTGTGGGGGGGAGGGTGTTGTGAGGTTTGCGGGAGGAGGGAGAGAAGGGAGGGGGAGGGGAAGCTGGGGAAGTGTTTGAGGGAGAAACGAAATGCTTTCACTGGTTTCATGAGCCGATGACCTGCATCCGCCCTGATTGTGGGGGGGAGGGTGTTGTGAGGTTTGGAGAGGGGGGGAAGTGGGGGAAGAGTGGAAAAGTACAGGGGAGGGAGGGGGAATGGGAGGGGGGGAGAGGGAAGGGAAACAGGGAGACGGGGCGGGGGGTGGGGGGAGGGAGTTTTGAAGGAATAACGGTACGTGCTCGTTGGTGGCTCGAGCTGACATATGTAAAAAACATGTAGTTCACAGCACAGCGGATTGAGAAACGGGTAAGCATTTTGTCGTCTGACTCTTCATCCCTCCTCCTCCTCACCTGAATGGCCCGCACGCCGTACTTGAAGTCGTAAGTTGCATCGGCGTGGGAAGGGCGGTAAGCCACTGCAATTTCAGAGTAGTCCTGTAAAGGGGTGGGGCGCGGTGCAAGGGGATGGGAGTTGGTTGAAGGACGGTAAGCCACTGCAATCTCAGAATAGTCCTGAAAGCGATGGGGGTTGGTAGAAGGGGGATGAGGGATGGGAGATGACGGTGGTGGGGGGATAAAAGTTGGGAGGCTGGGAATGATGATGAGAAATTCGTGGGAGTCGATTTTCGTGGGAAAAGTGGGGGGATAAAAGTGGGGGGATAAAAGTGGGGGGATAAAAGTGGAAATCGACTCACTACACGCGGTTGGGAATGATGATGAGAAATTCGTGGGATTTACAGTGTCAAAAGAAACAAGCAAATTTCACCTACCCCTTTCCCCCTTTGCTCCTCTCTTCAACACACCCCTTCCCCCTGCTCCTCTCCTCAACACACCCTTTCCCCCCCTGCTCCTCTCTTCAACACACCCTTTCCCCCTCTGCTCCTCCTCACTTCCACTCACCCCTTCCCCCCCTGCTCCTCTCTTCCACCCAACCCCCTCCCTCCTTTCGTCTCTTCCACTCACCCGTCTCCCTCCTTTCGTCTCTTCCACTCACCCGTCTCCCTCCTTTCGTCTCTTCCACTCACCCGTCTCCCTCCTTTCATCTCTTCCACTCACCCCTCCCCTCTGGTCTTGGTTTGGCACGAGAACCGCGATTGGCGTTCCAAGCGTCACCCCTGCAAACAATGACCGGGGAAGAGGAGAGGAGAGTGAAGAGAGTGGGGAGAGCGAGGAGGAGAGACAGGAGAGTGAGGAGGGACAAGGGAGTGAAAAGATTTCTGTGAGTGAGGAAAATGAGAAGATTGAGAAGGTGAGAAGAGAGGATAGGATAGAGTAGGGAGAATGAGAAGAGTGAGGGAAGTGAGGAGAGTGAGGAGAGCGAGGAGAGTGAGGAGGGCGAGGAGGAGAGTGAGGGGGGGGCGAAAGAGAGTGAGGAGAGTGAGGAGGGTGAGAGGAGTAAGGAGAGACAGGAGGAAGGAAAGAACAATAACGACGTACCTTCAGCAGTGCCTGACAGAATCCGGCACGTGTCTGTCTCCTTGCGGGGTGTGGTGATTCGCGACTGGCCTGGCCGACTGCCAGAAGGAGAAGGGAGAGAAGGTGGTGGGGGGGTGGGGGGGGGGGGGGAGGGGAGGAGGGGGGGGTCAAGAGAAAGGGGGGGAGAGGTAGGAAACGGAAGGTTTGAGGTGATTTGACATGCGAATTCAACCGGCACGTGTCTGTCTCCTTGCGAGGGGTGGTGATGCGGGACTGGACTGGCCGACTGGTAGGAGAAGAAGTTAGCGAGAGGCGGGGTAAGCGAAAAGGGGAGAACTAGGAGACAGCATACAAGACAGAACAAACAAACGAACAGACCACAAAACAAAGAGATTTACGCTCAACGAGAATCCATCCGCAATGCCACGGCCGGGCCGCGCTTACCACCTGTCCAGGTCGACCTAAAGGTCTTTCTCTGTGAGCGGTAGACGTGTTCCCACCCATCAAAACACAGGGACCCCAACAAGGCTTCACTGGAGCATTGTGAAAAGCACATCTCGAAGCCGTTTCGAATTTACATACCGCCGCCAGAGCAGGTCGACCCGGAGGTCCTTCTTTTGGAGCGGCAGATCGTGCTTCGAGTGAAAGAAATGAACTCCACACTAACTAAAACTCATCCGCATTGCCACATACCGCCTGTCCAGGTCGACCTAGAGGTCCTTCTCTGTGAGCAAGAGACGTGCTTCGAGTAAAAGGGTACAAAATAAAACTTAACCCTAACTACAACTCATCCTCATTGTCACATACCGCCTGTCCAGGTCGACCTGCAGGTCCTTCTCTGTGAGCGGCAGGCGCGGAGGGCAACCGTCGACGACGCAGCCTACCCCTCCGCCGTGCGACTCGCCAAATGTGGTAACCCGAAATGCGGTGCCGAAAGTGTTACCCGCCGCGCGGACAGCTGGAATTGGCGACAAATCAAGCAGAAACGATTAGAGGGTGAAATTACATTTACTTTGAATTGAGAAGAGAAAAACAGCAAGACGCGTGCGCCAATCAAGAAGCGGGAACAGGAGCACTTCTAAAGTCAACAGCCAGTAAAAAAGCGGAAGCGGAAGCAAGAATTGGAGCTACGGAATGGAGGATCGCGAGAGACGTTAGAATAATGGTTCGATAATGTACTCAGATTCCTTCGGTTCGGAGTGGTTCGAATTAATCGTTGTCCGGCGTCAAGGCCCGAGCTTTCCCCGAAAAACGCGCCTCGCGAGACGTCATTCCGAGCTGATCCTTTCAAGAACGACCTTCGAGGCGCGCTTGACGGACCGCCGCGAACTAACGGCGCGAGGGCTCTGCTCGTCGTGCACGCAATGGCAGCCTCCATTATTAGGGTTAGCAGCGTTGCTACACGCGGAGCAGAATGTGGATTGTGATAGCAATCCTAACGAGCTTCTAGGGAAAGAGCAGCCCCAGACTAGCTGTAGGACACACCTAATGCAAGTCCTAAACTCCTAATCAATACCCCCAACCGCGTGGAGTGAATGGGAGAGGAAGTAACAGAGCAGAAAGGACGAGTTGAAAGCTGAAAGCCAAATATCCGCAATAACAGATTAGGGTGCCTCTAACGAAGAGTTCAGATTATTCACTAAAGCGAAAGAGGCTATGGATATTGTTCATAATTTATGGAGTATTTTTAGGTAAAGAAAGTGTTGTAACAAGTGGGACTCTTGTGTTTCGCCAGTCTTGGCGCTTCAAGACAAAGCCCTGCGAATCAGGGCGCGGTTTATTTGGCGCAAATACCGAAGTTTGCTTTTTTGATTCGATTTTATCCTTTTTGGAAGCTCGATTGATTGGTCGAAAAGTTGATTTCACGAGGTTCGAGCCACGGGGCCGATTTCTGGTAGGTCAGAATGTGACCATCGAGGATCGAAAAATGAGAATCGACCCTCGTTTAGCCGCGATAATCAATTTAGGTTACCCGATTAACCTAAGTAGCTCTAACGTCTTTGTCGTAGTACCAACTGTAGATGTCGTCAAGTTTCGTCGTGTTCGTGAAGCTGCTAAGATGACCACGTTCGTAAGCACGGCTCGAATGCACGTTGAACACGCGGTCGACTGACTGTCTGGTTACTTGACTTACGAGTCAGTATTCGAACATTGACCTGGTTTCTTGCGAAGACTATTACGACATTCACGAACTCAGTAACCAGCTCAAGCTCGACCTGTTTTCTGAACTTTGATTCAAAAGCACCGCGCCCTCAGGGTGCGAGAAAAAAGCTGACGGTCTGCCCACAATCCAGTCAACAAATTTCGGTGGAATGTGACTGGACTGGACATCACGAAAAATGTAACCCGTTTTAGTGTATCTGTCTGCCGTAGCGAAGATTTCCCCGAAGACAGGAATCGAACAGGTAACCATAATATGGCACTAAACTAGCGCACTGAAGTGTTGCCCACAAGCGAACCATTGCCAAACGCTGCTGACTGGGCGGGCTGACCTAATTTTTCCACTGCCGTTCCACGCCTCCTTCCTGGCAGCGGGAAAATCAGGTCAGCCGGTCCAGTCAGCGGGGGGTGGGGGGGACATTTCGGACGAGGCGTGTGGTGTGGAACGGAAGCGGCGAAATCAGAGAGGGGCAACCTCTCGGTGGCAGGCGACCGGGCAAGCCGCGACGCGAGAGGTAAGGTTGCGTTGCACTGTCTTGGGCAGGGCATTTTTTTCCCCCAATACGTTCCCCTCCGCCCCACCCCGCTCTGAACCGCTCCACACCGCCTGAATCAGCCGCACTTCACCCTACTACACCCCACTCCGCTCCACTCCACATCACCTGCTTGGCAACGCAATCCCTAGATCGTGCTCGGCTAGATCGTTCCTTCCGTGGTCGGCAATCTCGAGGTTTCTCCGATGCCATTGCCAGTCCGCTAAGACCCAGCAGCTCCTACGGAACCTCTCATCCTATTGTGGCCTGGTCTGGTCACGACGAGCGATGATGCGACTCCACGTAATGAGTACTTATGGCGTTGTCTGGGATAGTAATCGTCAGTCCGATCAAACATTCGCCTCTTTATCCAGAGCACGGCATTTACCAAACCAGTTTATCTGTATTCCTCCAGCCTACTTGAGCTCCCACAAAACAGAAGCCCGCGAATATCAAGATAATATTATATATCAGTTGAAAAAAGCAACAATCGTTTTAGGTTATTTGAGTTTACTGAAATATCCATGGCGCAGCGCAACTCTCTAAGCGCCTTCGTTGAGAAGTACGAAGTCAGGGAGGATCTGGGAAAGGGACAATTCGGCGTCGTTGCGGAATGCATGGAGCGCGCTTCCGGCAGGCGACTCGCCTGCAAGGTGGTCGCGGCGCGCAAGCAAGCAATGGACGCGGCGGGGCGCGAAGTGGTGGCGCTTTCGCTGCTCAAGGAGTGTGAAAATATTGTTACTCTCGAGGATGTCTTTATCGGGGAGGAGGGGAAGGGGATGGTGCTTGTAATGGAGCTCGCTACCGGCGGGGATCTTCTAACGCGGATAGAGCAGAAGGGACGGATTCCGGAGCACGAGGCGCGTGAGCTGTTCAAAGGAGTCGCCATGGCTTTAAAGCAGTGCCACTATAACGGGGTCATTCATCGGGACGTCAAGCCAGACAACGTGCTCCTATTTCCCGCCAAAACTTCTTCTCTAGGGCAGATTCCTTCAGAAAGCGCTTCACCCAACAGCGTGTCTCCCAAGGTAACCCTAAGAAGCGACTTCAGGGGACGCGGCTGCGAATTCATGGCGAAGCTCGCGGATTTCGGCATCGCGAGGGTGCTTGCACCTGGGGAGAAGACCGACGGTTACGCGGGAAGCTTCCCTTACGAGGCTCCCGAGGTTATGGCGGGAAAACCGTACGATTTCTCGGCTGACATATGGAGCCTTGGTGTCACCCTCTATGCGATGCTTTCGGGAAAATGGCCGACTTTCGCGAACGGTCGCCGCGCGTTTGACGAGAGCAAGGACTGGGACTCCCCCTGCTGGTGGATCATCTCGAGCCGAGCAAGGAATCTCATCCGTTCGATGCTCGCAACTGATCCGCAGATCCGACCGTCCATTGACGAGGTTCTGAACGACCCTTGGGTTTGCAACAGCTCCTTCCTTCCATCCTCGTTCTCCATCTCTGCTTCTTCTGGGGGTTTCGTCAAGTCTGCTGCCTCTGCTGTCCCACCTGCTGCCTCTGCCGTCCCACCTGCCCCTGCTGGCACTGCCAACCCTGCAGCTGCATTTACCATCAAGCCTGCTCCCTCTGTCGTCACACCTGCTGCACCCGCTAAGACCCGCCCGCCAGCCACTTGTGACCCCTCATCTACCTTCATCTTCCCACTTGCAACGCTCACGATCAAGACCACGTACAAAACCACGTGCAGCACGGTCAAGTCCTGCCGGAAGCTCGCTTCCGATGTGCTGCAGCGGAAGCAGTGGCGTCGACACGGCGCGGTTACCAGCAAGCTCTCGCCATGTGCCAGCAAGCTCTCTCCATGCAACAGCTCTCTGTCGCGACGGCACAGCAGCAGGTCGCAGCGGAGCTCCTTCTCTGCAGCCTCGGGGAGACTCAGTGCGCGGGTTGCTGACATGGCAGTTGCTGCTGCGGGGGAGGCCACTGCTGGTGGTACTTTTGATGCAACAGCAGTCCAGTGGTCCTTTTAAAGAGTGAGAATATAAAATACGACTCCCAGTGATCTTCCTTCTAGACATCTTCAGGGAGGCGCAGTGGATTTGGTCGCTGCAGTGCCGGTGACTGAGGCTGATTATGGCATGAGAGGGTCACGCAAGCAGTTGTACGAAGGTCTATCTCCATTGATTGTGACAGGGGAGTGGGCTGGTAATGGAATATAGTGGGCAAGTTGGGTAAAAGGGGCCATACCAGCTGCATGGGTTTTCATATAGCTGATTTGGATTGGACTAGATTCACAATTCATAGGCGCCTAAAGAACACTAAGGAGGTACAACCTCGAATGTTCTTTAGGCGCCTCTGAATGTTATGACATTTTGATTTGCTGGTTGAGATTCTGAATGTTGTGCTGTATTCAGAAGATGGCCCAACTTCTTTGTTCATCCAACCAAACAAGAGAGACAAGCCACGGTAGCCTTGTGTTGTTGGGGAAAGGCTCCTCCTGATTGCACTGTTCTTTATCAGGGGGTATACAGGGTACAGATAATCAAGAACTGTACTTTAATTCCTTGCACTGCACACCACTAAGCATCACTTTGGTTTGGTCGTTGGTCAGACTGGTCTACATTTTTTTTTTTCCGTTAGCACGCAGCAGAGTTCCGGAATTGTTCCTGCCTTCTAATCGCATGCGGTTATATTGGAGCCATTTGTCATTCGACCTTTGTTCAACCGAGGGCGCGTCACCGCTCCAGTAGTCTTCGGGTGTCCACGACGTCATTTCCCGAACCAAACCTCGCACGAATCAATCATTAGTTAAGGATTCTGCGATATCAGCTTTCTCGAACTGCAACTGCGTAACAATGTCTACAAAATGTGGACAATTGAGAGCTTTGATTAAGGAACGAGCTCACCTATGTGGTGAAACGAAGCAAATCGTACCGAGAGCCCATTCAGTGTGGAACGACCGAAGTCAACAGGATCATTTGTGTAACCCTTCAATTGTCGCGCACCACATGATTTCATGTCTGAATAGGTCCTTTTCCTTGTTCATTTTTGAAATATTCAAGACCGAGAAAGCTGGGGGACATGCAGGGAAGGTGGGTGGTTCGCTGGGAAGGGAGGCGACGAAAATGGCTGCAGAAATTCGGCCGTCACGCTCAAGCCATCCTAGGCAAGTATGCAGCTATGCAACAAACTCAAGTCACGCGTACGCGACAATCTTCCGCAAGTGAATGCGCTTGAACTGTAACGAACACGAGAATCACTAAACACCAGACCTGGCCCGTCGCTGCAGCTCCTAACGTTGTGCTGGATCTACAAAGATGAGCCTCGTCACTTCCAGAAGCAGTATTTTCAGCTCAAGTGACGGTTCCAGTTTAAGAAACACCTCCACACAGCAGAAACTTTCAACAATCTACCTTGCAGCATGCTGTCGCTGATTCGACCGTTGGAAGACTTTCACTTCGAATACGAAGCGAAAGAGAAGCTGGGAAGCGGAAAGTTCGGAACCGTGTGGCGATACCAGGAGAGACAAGGCAATAACGAGTTTGCCTGTAAACAAGCCGTCGGCAGAGGGGGCGTGGCTTCCGCCTTACGAGAAATCGGCGCGCTTTCGACTCTTCCAAGCTGTCCCTACGTGGTTGCCATCCAAGGGTTGTTTCACGACCCTCAGACCGAAACCTTAATCTTGCTCTCCGAACTCGCGACAGGCGGCGATCTGGTAACACACATCAATGCGAAAGGACGGCTGCCCGAGTGGGAGGCGCGGTCGATTTTCCGCGACGTGGTGTGCGGCGTGAAGCAGTGTCACCAGAGCGGGTTGATGCATCGCGATATCAAGCCGGAAAATATTCTGCTGTTTGAGAACAGGTCGACGCTGACGTCAGGCGACGATGCGAAGTGCGACAGGAGCAACAAGAAGATTGGCTCTGATGGAGAAGTCGTATCAAGCGAAGACGTGACAGCCTCATCGTTATCTCGAGAAAGAGACTCCGGGCTTCATGACGCCGCGCAGCCTTTCGTGGCCTTCACAGCTAAGCTGTCCGATTTCGGCGCATCGACGGTTCTAAAGCCGGGACAGAAAGCGCATGCGTGCGTCGGCAGCCTTCCCTACATCGCTCCCGAGGTCCTCGCGAGAGATCAATACGATTTCTCCGCGGATATTTGGAGCCTTGGGGTTACCCTGTATTCCATGCTGTCAGGCGAATGGCCGACGATCATTCGCGGCCACCAGTCGCGTGGGGATTGGTTGCTGCCATGCTGGTCCGAAATCTCAAGTTCAGCGAAAAATCTCATCCGTTCGATGCTGTCGGTGGATCCTGAATCACGTCCCACCGTCGATGCGGTTTTGAATCATCCGTGGGTGAAGGGTGTCAGTCAGCCAAGTGCATTGACTCCAGTACTCAACGGCGACGAATGTAAATCTCCGCCGCGAAGCCCTTCGACACGGGTTACCTCACCCATGCCGTCGCCTCTCGCGGCAATTCACAGCTCGACGCGAAGAGCCGCTCAGACCTGCCGAAACATCGCGTTGCTCATGCTACCGAAGCGACGCAATTCCAAGTCTAATCTGCTCGCAGACCTCACTTGAAACGTCGATTATTACTTAGGGCGTGTTAAATCGCCACACAATTCCGAAAATAGGGTGTGGCCGAATTTTCGACGACCAAATGGTCGTCATATTTTTCGCGAACAACGACGAGGTGGCCGAATCAGAGTCGACTCTCTACAGGAAAAATCCTTACATTGTGCTTGGCAGAATTGGTGATTATTTTCACAATAGAATTGATGACTTCTCTGCCGTTCTGCTTTGTTGAGATTCTTGCACGTGCTTACCTTGGGCTTTGAAGTACAGGCCCTGTCTGATTGGCCCTAAGCTGCCCGACGTCAGCCAGAATTTACAGTTTTGGCAATTTTACAACTTTGGTGGCCGGATTGCAGGCTGGTTCGGAAAAGTTGTTAAATTTGCAGTTACTACAGTAGTTTAGTATGTGCGACGGGGTCACACTTTTGACGACGATAGTTCTCATTTGACGCGATCACAAATTCTGTCGTTGGGCGATACCGTGCGACGTCGCAGGCGTTTGTCGCACACTGTGTCGACTATTTGGCCGTTTTGGAGTCGACTCGGCGTCGTTTTCGTGTCGACTTTTTAAACGGCCATCAAATTCGTAAAAAAATTTAACGAAACTTACGACGGTCGCTACTTGACTTACGAGTGTCGCAAACTGGTTACCTTCGCAGATACGGCCCGACGGATTGTGGCCGAATTTTTGGAGTTTGCGATTTAACACGCCCTTATTGTAGGGAATAGAGCCACAAAAATCGCCCTGACAGAGCAACACCAGGAAGAAGTGTTGGAGAATCGAGTTTCTGCCGCCCCAGCCCTTTGCACACAAGCAGCAGCAAGGGGGAATGTCGGCGATGAATCAGAGCTTCGGGAAGTACTTCGAAAGTTTCACCACCAATCAGATTTCAGCCGAAGACTCGATATAGTTCAAAGCTGCCTTCAAACCGAAGTGTTGGCAGTTTCTACAGGTTTCTACACATCAGAATCAGCTATAACAGAAATATCCAGAGTTTTCTTATTCATGCACCTCATGTGGCACTCAAAGTCACTCAAGGTCCATCCAATCTAGATTGTGCCCAAGTTACCAGGGAAGTTACATTGTCTATCAGCCTAGTTTGAGCTTTCAATCTGTCTTGTTTGTGATGCCTAGAGTTGTGCTTAAGTGGGCTTGTTAATCTTGAACATAGTGAAGTTTTACCTCATCCAGTCAATTCCAGCAGCCCTGCTAAGACTTTCCAGCCAAGTTTCCAGCCCTCCAGTAGTCACAGCTACTCTGTTTTACAAGTTGGTATCAGAGCTTGTCGTTTCGATCAACCTAGCCCACCACGTTCCTATCCTAGCACCATACGAACATGGCGGGAGACAATCCATCTGGTCCTGCACTCCAGCCAGCCGGAGGAGCTTCAGAGTCAACATCAGCAGCTACTGGATTAGTGGAAGTAGTTGCACCAGGCAGTCCTTCAACAACATACTCACCACTCACCTCCTTCATGCCTAAGCTTCACCTCCCCAAGTTCAACGGCAAAGATTTTCCAACATGGGCAACTCAGTTTGAGCTCACTGCATCCCTTCTGGATCTGTGGCCTTACTACACTGGAGAAGCAGCCAAACCAGCAGCAGATGCTTCAGAAGCTGAAAAACGACTTTACGAACGACGCAACAAGGAGGCCTTCCTCTACCTACTCAATAGCATTCACGAGCAGCAGTTGAAGTCGCTCCTGCCCTGTTCTACCAAGGCAAACAGTGCAGAGGAAGCATGGAGCCGACTGAAGACTATGCACCAGTCAAAATCCGAGAGCAGCCAAGCCGAGATGTGGAGCCGCTTCATGAATCTGAAGATGGAAGAAGATGAATCAGCACAAGCCTACCTACAACGAGCTGAAGCAATGCTGGAGGAAGCAGCAGCGATCGGCTTGGAGATTCCAGAGTCTCTTTTCAAGACCGTCATCCTCACCGGCCTTACACCGGAGTGGGACACTTTCCGTGCAACACTACAAGCGCTCCCGCAGTCAATGAAGAGTCGTGCGTTCATCTTTGAGGCCCTTGTCAACGAGCAGCAGAGTCGAGACCTTGCACGGAACAAGCGGAGTGACGAAGGTGCGTGGAGTGCTGCAGCAGCCACAAGATATGGCAACCAATTCCAGAGGCAAGGAAATTTCAGCCCAAACCGCCCTCAACCCTACTACGGTACGAAATTTCAGTCACCTTCCAACCCATACAAACCCTCTCGTTTTCCTCAGTCAAGTCCTCCCTATAAGTCCAGTCACTATGTCCAGCCAAGGCCTTCGACTCCCAATCAATACCAGACTAGGAATGCAAGAGTCAATATGCCAAGAGTCAATAATTTCAGCCAAGCCCCGAATGCTAAAAAGTTTAATTTTGAGTGTTTTTGTTGTCATGAGTGGGGTCACCCGTGGTATGCTTGTCCTAAGAAGCCTCCTAATTGGGTCCCCCCACCTCAGCTAC